ACTTAATGTATTACAAACATGGATCAAACTTCTCTAAGAAATGTCTAAATAATGACCTAATAACAACGAAGTGCTGATACTGAAAGAATCAAAGACTTTTTAAAATTCCACTTTGGCATAATTAAGGGATAAATCAGTTCAAATGAAAGATGTCACTGTTATTAAGACTTCATTCATTTATTGAATTATGTTTCATATGAACAGAGTGTATTTTTAAGATTATTCAATGATTACATAAGTCAATGTCATTTCTACTTTTTAGAAGAATTGATATTAATCTCTTGTCATTGAAACTGTAATTGTTTGTCAAATTAATTTCTTAAAGGTCACCCGACAGCCACCAGATGGCAACCTGAGATGATGTCACATCTGAAATTTAAATTACCGAAAGCCTTGAGACTGCACTGCCACCCATTCGCCCCACAGGTTCCTCTGAAATCGTAGAATATAGGAGTTTTCCAGTACCTTTGTAAATTTCACTTGAGTATAATAAAATATGCTCTATCTACAATGCTTGCAGTAATTAAAGACTTTTTCCTTAATAGGACTCTATCTAGAAATAGCCCAATATGGAATGATCATTAATAGACCTGTTAAGGTCCTTGAATAAATATCAAGAGCACAGCACACATTTAGTAAATTTTCTAAAGAAAATCCATTTTCATTTCAAATTCTGACATTTTATTTAGAAAAATTATACCCTTTCTTATAATTATTTCAGTAAATACAATGAGAGTATTGCTAACTACACCTCAGAGTACTTTATTTTCACCATTTTTTAGTAATATGAGTCTCCTTATAATTAAAGGCATGCTGCATTAATGATGCCGAAAGTCTCCAAGGGAAGCATTTAATGTCCACCTCATAATATTATGCCAAAATTACATGCACAGAAGACTTTTTAATAATCTTTGTTTCCTAATTCAGTTTTGATTGGCTCTGAAATCCACGGCAGCACTCAGGGCTCCCATTTCCCCAGTCATCAGCACTTCTGCACCATAAATTGTACAAATGCACAGGATTTCTCCGTCTGTAGGCTCCTTTTCAAAGCTTCTATTTAACTTATCCAGAAAATTAGCTTCAGGCTGGAGATAATTGCAGATAATTTTGCCATTTTTAAGCCACTAGGGTGTTGCGTGGAGGGATGACAGCCAAGTTTGTCTAAACACAATGAACAAGTCATAGCTTTGTGTTATCACTTCAGCTCTACACACAGGTTCAGATCACCCTGTTTGCTCTTTATGCAAATTGAAACAAATTGTTGTCACCGGATCGGTGTTTTCTGACAAAGCCGTGCTATCTGAAGCTTGCCATGTGGCTGAAAGGACTGAACTGCCACAAACGTGCTATCCCAGCCTGAACAACAAAAATGGTTAGTTCTCCTCTAACCTTTCCAGACTCCACTCCCTTGACAAAAACAAAGCTTTTTCTTTCTTAAGTCACTCTCAACTTAAAAGGAACATAATACATTTAAGAGAAAATGTACAGCTCGCAAAATACGTAACTCATGTACATATGCATTTCTCTTTTGCACTGTCATAATTAGAAATGGTAGAATTCTCCCAGAAAACTATTGTTTATAAATACCTGCATAATTAAAAGACAACTATTTTAAACTACGTGACATTGAAGATTTATTAAAAGTGTCAACCAGATTAATAAGCAGCGACCTACTATCAAAAGGAATCATAGGCTCATTTTCTCTAAATTTTCACTTTAGATCAAAATGAATGCAACATTCACGGACAGGCCCTGGCAAACAATGACGGGCAAATGCAAAGAGCAGCAACACGGACTCACAACCCAATGCCCATGAACTTCAACTTTGTATTAAATAAATTGGCTGTGAGACTGATAGGACATTTCTACGGCCAAATTCCCCTCAGTGCTCAGAACTAATATAGGCATAGCTAATAAGGGTGTCACTAGCTGAGCAAGTGAAGCCATTTTGAGCCCACATTTACATAGAGGGGCTAAACAGTGATGGTGCTTATCTGGCAGCTGCCCTGATGTAATAGGCCGTAACGACTCTGAGACGGCAGGTTTGGATGCCAGTGTCAAGGAAGAGAGAATGTCCAAATCATAACACAAGTGACTCTGTGGATCCCCATTAGACCTTGAGCTAAGGAGTGCCTAAAAGGCCTGATATGACAGCAACCTGAAAAAAGTTTTACAGCCTTGTGTCAGGAACCCTTAAACTAAATAATTTTATGGAAATCCAAACTGCAGAGAGCGAAGTGCTGCTATCGTAGGCCATTATCATTGACTTGGCATGTAATATTCATACATAGAGTCCCAAGTCCATATTAAGGAATACAAATTATTGTATTACGGAATTATTACATTGTATTAAGGAATACAAATTAAGGATCATCATGAACCTCATAATCTCTGTTGAAAAACTACTCTGCTCAATGGCAAGTTTAAATCCATCAAGGCTTCTGAATGTCTGCACCATATTAAGATGCAGGCTTCGGGGCTGGGGATTTAGCTCAGCGGCAAAAGCGCCT